GGGAAATTACCTCCGAAAGACATTCCCTCACACGAACCATTTAGGTCCGCCCGAACAGGAACGCTCTAACCCAGTTACTAACTTTCGGCTTAGGCCCAGTTTACTGGAGCTTGAAATTTAACAACCTGTGGTTAACTGGGTCGAATGCTTTCTGGAAGTTCAGGTAGCACACTTCGACTTCCGTTCCCTCATCTAATTTCTGTGCTACTTCGTCCAAGAAACAGATTTGTTAGACAAGATCTGCCTTTGATGAATCCGTGTTGGGCGTTACATGAGGAACCGATTTGAAGAAGGTGCGCGCTTATGTAGTCTCGCAGAATACGCTCCAGGAGAAGGGGAGCAAGGATCCATCCTTGTGGGAGCCCGCTCGTGGGGAAACCCAACTGCTGGTTGGTTCAGTTCAGTTCTCATAGGACGAATGGTGGCTCTTGCCAATCGCGCGTCCTGTTCCTTGTGTTGTCGGCGGTTTCGTTGGCTTCCAACACTTCAATTCAATGGTAGATTCTGAAAGGCAGAATTAGTATAAATAAACCAAACCACTCGTGATTGATTGAAGACCCGAACCCACTGAACTTGTCTCCAAAGGCGAGTTGTATTGCAGGATAGAGTGAAACATATTCCTTTACCGACGTATTATTCTGCTGTGTTCCTCACTTTCTATTCCTGTCCTCATGCCTNTACCATCGGGCAGCATTTGTATTACGGACAACCTCTTCGTATTTGACACACTTTCGCCGTACGGCCAATCTTTTCGAGGCCAGCTTTACTATTACTTGCAGTTTTAGTGACATGTATTCTTCGTTGCATCCTCCATCCTTCATAAATTCGTCGATGACCTTGTCCGGTTTGTGTTCTTTTCACTCTGTGTTTTCATTCTGATCCCCACAAACTTTTTTCTAATTTTATTATTGTCTACTTATGTACTTACGCTGTTATTGTACGTATACTCGCTCTGAACATTTGATCATGCATTGGGCATGTCTCACGGGCTTCGTGAAATATACACCTATCATTATTATTATCTTAGTGTGCGGTATCAGATCTCTTATAGTATTTCGGAAAGTAAAGTCCAACGATTAAATTTCAACACTCAACTTCGGGAAATACCACTGCTCAGCATTCATCTAGCCTTCCGTTGAAAAATTCGACATTGACACAGGTAACCACTGCTTCGGGCAATTTATTCCACAGTGGTATAACTCTGCTTGTGAAGAACCTAGCTCGTAGATTTAGTCTACAATGACTTCTTTCCAATCTCAGTTGATGACCCCTCGTGCCCTTGGCAGGAACAAACGAGAACAAGTTTTGGAACTTAAGACCCGAAAGTCCTTTACCAATGTTAAATGTCTCTATAAGGTCGCCCTGTATGCGTCTGCGGGCCAGGGAGAACAGGTCCAGGTTCCTCAGTCGTTGGAGGTATCTCTTATTATTCTGGTCTGCTACCATTCTAGTTGTCAAGCGCTGTACTTTCTCAAGACACCGTTCGTTATGTTTAAAATAAGCGCCCATGCCTGTACGCAATATTCTAAATGAGGATGCACTATAGTTTTGTACAACGGTACGAAAACCTCGGGTCTTCTGCAACTTACAACAGCGCACAACCTGAAGAGTTCGTGTTGAGCTTTATTAGTCGCCCGCTTGCACCGCATGGATGGCCTGAAGTCGTTCGTGATCATTACCCTTGGATACTTTGACTCAGAGACATGCTGCAGATGCATCACACTTCTCGTGTCATCATTGTATCTTGTGGTCAAGAGCTGACACTTACCTAGATTCATTGGCAGATCCCACTTAACCGACCACCTTCGAACTGCATCTAGATCCTGTTCTAGTCCTCTCTAGCTAACTTCACATCATTGGCGAACATGAAGCAAAGATTTTGGAAATCTTCCGCAGGGTCGTCAATGGAAATCAAGAGAGTAACGGACCCAACACCAATCCCTGTGGGACACCACTCGATATTTCCTCAGGTTCCGTTTTATAATTTCCAACTCTTACACTGAATTTGCGACAGCTAAAAAATTGTCTAATCCATTCTCTTGCCTTACCTAGAATCCCCATTGTCTGCACGTTTAGATCCAGAAGCTGATGACTGACTGAGTTGAAAGCTTTGCTGAAATCTACGTAGTGAACCTCTACTTGGCGACCTGCGTCTATTCCTTTTGTACCTTCGTCTAGAAATGCCAGCAGGTTGGTCAGGCAAGATCTTTTCCCGACGAATCCATGCTGAGCTTGAATCAGAAGCCCGTGACCCATCAGATAAGAACATATTTGTTTCCCAGTGACCGGTCCCGCTAATGCATTTGCTAATGGCTGAATCACGGCAGGGTGCAATCCATCCGGTTCTGCTGCTTTATGTCTATTTAAGTCATTGAGCTCTCGGACCACATCGATTTCACAGAGGTCGAACTACGTGACGTGCTCCCTTGTTCTAACCAGGCTGCAGTCTACATTCCGTCCTGATGTAGTTGACCGATAAATTCCCTTGAAACGCGTAAGGAGCGGACTTGTCTTTTCCCGGTCGGTGTTGGCCTTTACGTCTTCCGTCACCTCCAGTGTACCCACTCCCTCCTTAGTGTTTTTGTTTGCCTGCACATATGCATAAAACCTTTTCGGGTTATGCCTTACGTTTTGCGCTGACTTTTACTCATGTTCATACTTCGCCTCCCTTTGAAGGAATTGTGCTCTAATGCGTGCCCTCTTGTAGATCGACCATGCATCGGCAGTCCGGTACGCCATAAAACGGGCCCAGCATCTCCTCCGGACTACCAGTACCTGATCTAGCTGTGGCTTCCACCAAGTTGGTCGCTGCCTATTGCTCCTAGGTTTGGAGGGTACCAACCTATCGGTCAGTCTAAGCAGCCCAATCTTAATGGCAGACCATCGCTCGTCCAACGTTGGCTCGGGAGCTAGTGGCACTCAACCTACGTGTTCTGCGGCCTCTTGTAGGGCATCTATGTTTGTATGGCTATAGGTCCGATTAAGTGGGACAGCCGGTTTGCTGCGTTTCATGGGTAATACTAACCTCAGTACCCCAAGGTCACTCTTATCCAGTGGATTCTCCACTACTACCTCACTTATAATAATAAAAATAATTAAGTATATTTCAGGAAGCCCGTGAAGCATGCACAAATCATGATCAAATCTACAGTCTAAACATATGTACAACAAAAGTGCACGTACATAGAAGGTTCAATTAGGAGATATACATAGGGGGGATGGTGGAGGAGTGGAACGAAAACGCAATTTAAACGTAACACAAAGCGGACAAGGTCACAGACGTAGGTGTTAAGGATGGAGGAATTCACTGGATAAGAANATGTCAATGGAAATCGAAGGGAGAGCAAATATTGTGTCGAGAGGACTAGGCGTGTGGAATTATTGGGAGAAAACACGGATGGACGGTCAGTGAAATAAAGAACGAGAGATGGAGACTCTCAGATAGAAATGAAAGGGAAGGAGGTGTACAGAATTCATATATTTGTCAAAGTATATGTTTCTCCGTCTGCTGCAATACAGCTTGCTTCTGAGGGCACATTCATTGGGTTCGGTGCTTCGATCGGTAATGGATCGATTTAGATTATATAGGCGTTGGTCACTTTGATGTGGAACTGACTACACGCTAGACACTCAACCTCAAAACTCCTCTTAGGTGAAGCAGGGAGCTTGATCCTCAGCCTGGTTCGGAATGCGGACGCATGTAGCCAAAACGTTGGAGACAGCCGTGCCCAACAACCATTGCCGGAGCCAAATTGTCCATTGGGGTTCTGGACCCCAAGCCTTCGACAGGCCCAAGCCAACCGAATCGGGAACAAAGAGGCGATACACAACAGATTGGGGTAATACCCAGCTGAGAAAGAATGAGGGGGAACAGAGAATGTCACGAATACTCTGCAGAGTAGAATAAAGCAATGTAGTATGTATACGTACTAAAACATATATATATGTATATAGGCAATGGTAGGTCACAATAATGATAAAAGTATGCACCATGATGGGCTGTTTTCCACAGATCTGGCTTTGAAGCTGGGTCCGAGTACTGATATGAATTTAGTTGAGAAGGCGGACACTGCTACCTGGTTAGCATGTGCCACAGGGTTTAGACAATTGACTCCAACGGAAAGGAGAACAAATGGATATAAAGTGTGTCTGATAAATAACGCGTTATAACTAAGTCCAGGACATAGGCCCTCTGTTGGTTGCGAAACCTTGTGGCCTGCATGCTATGCTTAATGAGCGCATGATCATGTAGCCATTGTAGAAACCTTTCTCCCTTTGTCCAAATCGGAGCCCCTTCCTCTACCCAACAGATCTCCGGAAGAATGAAATCTTCCAGGGGACTCCAGCTCGGGACTGCCTCGGCTTTTTCTCCCTTCTGCCGTCGCCTGTTTCCCATCTGGTTTGGGTTTTAGGAGTGTGGACTTGCTCAACGGTGACCCAGCTGATAAGCTTTGATGGACCATCCTGCGTTGCCATGCCTCGCCCACTTCAACTCCATGCGTCATTGATGCGTTTAGTTTGCTCAGAATAACTCCGGGCTTCTTTCGTTGCATCATTCCTGTTGCAGGAAAAATGGGGTTGAAGCCCTGATGGACGTGATGAACTTTCAAGTCCAATCCCTAAGTAATACAAATTGCTGACCTTGTTCATTAGATAGTTATGAAACTGGAAATGGTCAAAAGAAGATGGGGTACGGTTTGGAGTGCAAATACATTCAAGGAATTTTTCAGGAATGAGATTAGAAACGGAAAAAGTAACATACGAAAAGAGGTGATAAAAGTTTGTATTATATTCAGCCAGTTCTGATTGGTTAGATATGGAAACAGAAATGGCGATATC